GCCAGGGAAACCCCAGAGGACATCTCATCTGGCCTCCCTAGGGGCTGAACCTCCTCTGCCCCCAGCCAGAGCTGGGCTCCAGATCCCCCCAGGCTCCTCCCACTGCAGAGGCCAGCTCTCTTTTGTATCCTCTGTGGATACCTATTTGCCTTCTCCAGGGGTGCTCTGACTACTTGCTCTCTTTAGCCCCAATCCTGGCTCCCCACTTTCCTCAAGGTGAAGGAGACCCAGGTTTGCCCCTGATTTCTGGCATTCAGCTCACCCCTTCCCATGAGGACTGGTGATCCCAAAGTTGCAGCCCAAGTACAGTGGGCACACAGAAAAGAGAGACAGACAGTTGCCTGGTTCCTGGCACTGTGCTAATTTCACTAAAGCCACAGTTTGATCAGTCTCCTAAGAACATATAAGTAGAAAATACTATTCCTGTTTCACAGCTGAGGGGACTGAGGCCCAGAGAGGCCCACACTCATCTAGAGGGGGATGAAGCTGGGGTTGGAGCCCAGGCAGGCAAGCGCAGGGAGCACTGGGCACTGCACAGCAGCCACCGCCTTGCAGGAAGAAGGGAAGGGTTGGTGTCCTGGTGGGCAGGAAAGCTGGTTGTCAGAAAGGTCCCCAGATGGGACAGGCAGCCACTGAACTGTGACCTCCTATCCTTTTGGGACCCCCAGCATGGCCTCCCCAGCGCTGTGGACCGTGTTCCTGGGCAAGGTGTGGCAGAACTCTCGCTGGCCAGGTGAGGTGTCCTTCAAGGTGAGTCGCCTGCTCCTTCATCCGTACCACGAGGAGGACAGCCATGACTACGACGTGGCGCTGTTGCAGTTGGATCACCCAGTAGTGCGCTCCACTACGGTGCGCCCCGTCTGCCTGCCTGCACGCTCCCACTTCTTCGAGCCAGGCCTGCACTGTTGGATCACAGGCTGGGGCGCGCTGCGCGAGGGCGGTGAGCATGACTGGCAGTGGGTGGGGGGCTGGGGGCACGCGTGGGTCAGACCACACAACATCTGGATTTGGAGGAAGTGAAGCTCAGGCTCAGGAGAAGCTGGAGGAAGATGTTAGTCCTCACAGGCTCTGTCACCACAAGCTCCAGGGGAGGGGAAGCCAGAATAGTGAGAGTGAGGCAGAGGGACAGGGCGGAAGATGGGCTGAGCAGGAGATGAAGGGGCCCCTCAGATGCAAGAATTGTGGAAGAGTGGAAAACGCTGGGCGTCTCAGACCTCACATCCACTTTCCCTCCACGCAGGCCCCACCAGCAATGTTCTGCAGAAGGTGGACGTACAGCTCATCCCACAGGATCTGTGCAGTGAGGCCTATCGTTACCAGGTTACCCCACGCATGCTATGTGCCGGCTACCACAAGGGCAAGAAGGACGCCTGCCAGGTGACTTCAGTGTGTCCTGGGGGAGAGCAGGGAGAGGGTGATGTCTGGGCCAGGAATGGCCCTTTGTTCATGCCAATGGCTGAGGCCTCACAGCCTCCAGGCAAGGTGGCCGCTCCATGTTAGAATGAGGAGAACAAGGTGACCAAGGCCTGAGAGGCTGGGGTGCCTTGCCCAGGACAGCAGAGGCCTGGAGTGGGGCAGGCTCTGGGATGGGAGGTCTCAGACTCACATTCAGTTCTGCTCCTTGCTGTGGGGGCACTGAGCCTGGGGCCCCAGAGTACAGAGCACACCTGGGGATGGCAGGACACACCTCCACAGTTCCCCAGGGCCAGAACCTGCTGAAGGCCAGTCAGGGCTGGTTTGGACTCTCCATTTATTAGGTCCAGGGGAAGCAGAAGGGATGTGACTTTTTGCTGTCACCTAGCAAGTTTCCAACAGTCAGGACTAGAACCCAATATCCCCTCCAAGAAGGGGGCACTCTTGCCCTGACACAGCTGTCTCTCCACTCCTCAGGGTGACTCTGGAGGCCCGCTGGTTTGCAAGGAACCCAGTGGCCGCTGGTTCCTGGCAGGGCTGGTCAGCTGGGGCTTGGGCTGTGGGAGGCCCAACTACTTTGGTGTCTACACTCGCATCACAGGTGTGATCGGCTGGATCCAGCAAGTGCTGACCTGAGGAGCTGTCCCTGCAGAGCTGCCCACTTCCTGGCCAGGGAGTCTCAGGCCCCACTGGGCAGGGGAACAAGTATTCTGGGGGGCCAGAGGCCCTGTGGGGGCAGGAAGCGGCATCCTGTTCCCAGCCTGCTCCCTGACATCTGCCCCAGTGACAGGAAGGAGGGCCATTGGCGGGTGACCAAGAGGTCCCCTGAGGGCCAGGCCCACCAGAGGTTCATCCAGCCCTTTTCCTCCACAGCTGATTTAGGATGGGGCTGTAGCTGTCATGGTGCTGGCTTCTAGGTCCCTGCTTGAGTGTCTGTGACCTCCTCATCCCTATGAGGAGGCTGCCTGGAGGGCACTGGGTTCAGACAGCAAACCCCAGCCTGGGAAATCCCCAGTGAACCTTAGGGGACCCTCAGAGCCCTGGAGATGGCCAAGTGGGCCAGCTACCACATAAGCCAAAGGGTGGGGCAGTCCTGGCTACAGAGACCCTGCCCAACCCTGCCTGTCACAGGGTCCTTCCCAGCCACTCACTGGAGGCCAGCTCTCTGCCCTGTGAATAAAGTGTGTCCAAGCCCTGCCTGTGTCTGAGTGGGTCCAGCACTATCTCCTGCACTTGACCCAGACCCTTGCTGTCTGCTCAGCCTGCTCTCCAGGTGTCCAGAGGCAACCTCCAGAGCACTGGGGCCCACTGAGAGCTGGAGCCTCCAGGGCAGCTGCTCAGGTCCCCGAAGAAACCCCAGGAAGGCCATGGTTTGGGGATGCTCAGGACAGAGCTGGGGATGGGTTGGGTGGTAGGCTCCTTCAGGAACCTTGGGAGGAAACTGAAGCTCAGAGTGGGGTGGGGCTATCCTCGTGTGGGCACTGGGATTGGGAGCAGAGCCTGCTGTGGACCTGTCTCCTGGCTGTCTGCTCTTCCCCTCCAGCATGACACACCCCCCTCGGCACTGAGTGCAGACTCCTACTGCGGCTGGTAGCACTGGTACTGGAGATGAAAAGCACATGGCTTCTGAACTCTGTGAAGGGGGACAACATGGGGGCACGTGGCTTGGGAAGTCAGGCAGGGCTGCCTGGAGGATGTACCTTGAGTTGGGGTTCAAGGGCAACCAAGGGAGGGAAGGTCATTCCAAGAAGGGGCAGCATGGGCAAAGGCAGAGCCCCAGAATGTGGCACACAGGGGTCCCCTCAGCTCTTGCAAGCTGGTGCCAGTCACAACAGGTGGGAAGGAGCTGCAGGTGGGCAGAGGCAGTCTCAGGACCAGTAAGAACAATTTGACCTTGAGGGCGATGGAAGCCCTCCATAGCAAAACAGTGACAGGAGTGGATTGATTCCATTTTTGTCACTACTGGCTCCAGTGTGTGGAGGGAACTGAGAGGGAAGGGCTGGTTAGGAGGTGGCTAGAACTGTCCAGGAAGAGAGAATGGAGCCTGGACACTTGGACAGAGCGAGCCAGTGGGGTAGACTGGAAGGCTGTTTAGGACAGGAAATTAGCAAAGACACCTGGGGTCACTGGGGCCCTTGAAGCAATGGTGATGGAGCTAAGAGCTTACTGGAAAGGGGCCAAGTGCACATAATTTTCCTTGAGGCTTAACTGGGAGTGAATGAGGTGGAAGAGGAGCAGAAGGTCTAGCTATGAAAGTGGCTGGGCAGTAGGGGGCTTTTGGCCCTGTGGGTGGAGCATGAAAAGGCCACGAAGCCAGCCATCCCTGCACATGGGGCAGAACATAGTAGGAATCACCTAGGGAGCTCTAGCGATGTTAAATAAATCCCTGGGGCCCACCCAGTTTCAATGCGGCCTGAAAGGAGGACCAGTTCTTTTAATAAGCCTCCAGGTGACTTGCCAAGTTAGAAGCAAAAAGTGAGCTCACCTGTGAGGAGTGAGCATCCTCAGGGGCTGTGATGACATCCTCTAGACTGTGGAGCTGGGCAAGAGTGGGCCTTGAAGCCAGTAAGAAGCCTGTCTGGGGGAGGGGGACTGCCACCTTAAGGGATCTCTACCAGGTTCTGGGACCCTCAGCAAGAGGGAACTCTGGTCAGGCCCACAGGAAAAAGGTGAGAGTCTAGAGATTTAGAGAAGGTGCAGTGGGAGGCCTGGGACAGCAACAGGGAGGGTGAAGGTGACCAAGAGGTGTTGGTTGGGCAGGAAGTGGAGGGGCTTCCTGGAGGCTAGGATACAGGATGTCTGCCCAGGTCCAGCTCTCCATCCCCATTTCTGAGCACTTGGCAGAGGAGGTGGCCTCAGCCTCTGGCCACTGAGTCGAGGACAGACATGCTCCAACCTCTCCCCCAACATACAGCAAAGTGACAACTGGGCAGAGGCCCTAGGCTCCAGGAAAAGCCCTATTCTTTTGGGTTGATCCACCCCATATTGAGTTTAGCCCGTCCCCAAAAGTGGCCCAGAGAAAGCGGGAAGCAGCCAGGTAGGGCTGTTTCTTCAGGTTTATTACATGGTGGGGTTGGACGCAGTTGAGGTGAGCACCCATCTAGGTGGTCACAAAGGAGGGCCTCACTCACTCCCCATCACACCTGGACCCTGCTCTTGGCAGAGAAGAGTGTCCCCTTCCCTTTTCACGAGGTCCTCCCCAGCCATTTCCGCCACTCCTGGGCCGGGCACTGTGGCAGTATATAGGGTAGGAGTGGGGCTGGGCCACTAGGGTGATGTCAGTCTGCTCCCCCTCCTTCTGACAGGTCAGATCCCACAGCATCACCCCCTCCTCAATGTCGGAGTCTTCCTTTGCAAACAGTGTCTTGCCTGGGGGCTAGGGGGGCTCCCCATAAGGAAGGTGAAGGGCATGGCCTTGCTCCTCCCTGCACCCTCACAACAACCCTGTGAGGTAGGCAGGTTGAGGGAGACCCCTGGGACCAACAAGGAAAGTGAGGCTCAAGGTGGCGATGTGACTGGGCTGGGAGGTAGTGCATCCACCATGCAGCAGGGGGACCCAAGTGAGGGGACACAGGGGTCTGGGAGACACAGCTGGCTAGTGGCACCACACTTCGGCCATGGGCAGGCAACTCTGCCCAGGAGGCCCAGGGCCCACCTCGGGCCTGGTAAGGTCCCAGGGGGGCCCCAGCCTGGCTCTGGAGGCAGGGGTGAGTCCCAGACCAGTGGGTGCAGACAGGAGGGGCAAGGGACAGAGCGTGTCTTCCTCCTCAGGCTGGGGGCCTGCCCCGTGGTACAAAAGTAAAGGATTTCAGATCGGAAACCCAAGTCCCTGGAGGTGATCTGGGGGCTCACATCCGGGTGCCTCTGGCTTGTAATAGCTAGAAAATAAGAGGGGGAAGGGGCAGGAGGAAGGGGAGAAGGGGTCAGAAACCGGGTGGGGGCGGGATGGTGAGGAGGTGATGAGAAGGCAGGAGAGGGGTGGAGAAGAGTGAGAAGGGTGAAGAGGAGCGAAAGGGAGGGAGAGGAAGGAAAGGAGGGAGAAAAGGCAGGGAGAGAGGGAGAGAGAAAGGCCAGTGAGTCACAGGCTCCCTTCTGGAAAGAGGGGAGTGGGGCTGAGGCCCAGAGAAGGTGGCGTCAGAACCAGGGAGGGGCAGGAAGGGTGTCCCAACTAACCCAACTGGAAGCCCCATGCCCATCCTGGGTTGGGAGGTGGGCACCTGGGGAGGCCAGATTCTGCCAAGACTCTGACCGTGGTCGGGGCGGGGCCAGGCCCCTGGTCACAACTGACCCAGGCAAAAGAAGTCAGCAGCCATCTGTCCCCATTTTAGAATTCTCTGTGACCCAGAGATGGGCAGTGACTTGCCCAAGGTCACACAGAAGACAAGAGTGAATAGCTGTTCGTGGTCACTTGGCCAGGGCTTTTCTGCTGCACTTCAGTCCTCAGCTGGCTCTGGCTGACTTGTGAGCTAAGGGTATCCACACGTGGCCTGGCCTCCCCACCCCACAGAAGTAGGGGGACCCAGTGTCACATGCAGTGACACATGAGCTCCTGGACATGCAGGATGAAGCCAAGGCTTTCCTCCGCTTCCCAACCTGGCTCAGGTGCTGACCAGCAGGCAAGTGGGCAGGAAAGAACCCCCACCACCTAACTCATTCTGATCTCAGGACCTCACACCAAGGCCCAGTTAGGCTGAGAAACTTTGCTGGGTGGAGAAAACCAGCTGAGAGTTTGGTTCAAGTCCAAGGACAAGAGATAAGCACCCTCCTTGCTTCCGCCCCTCCCTCCAGCTCTGCCAGGCTACAAACCATGGACGGCAGCTCTGGGGGCGGGCGTGGGGCCGAGGAGCCCTCACAGCAAGCTCAGGCTCAGGTCTGAGAGGGTGCGGACAGGGACCTGCAAGGAGGACGCATGAGGAGGTGGGGCAGGCCGAGGGGGCCTGCACCCAGGCCAGCCTCAGAGGTGCCCAGCAGGGTGGGTGGGCACAGAACAGGTGTGGCCACACTCCTCCTCCCCAGGCAGGGAGGCAGGCAGGGCTGCAAGGGGCACAGGAGGCGGCAGGCAGGATGCTCGGGGATGCAGGGCCACGGGGCCTGGGGGGAGGGTGCGGGAGGCTGGGACCAGGGTGGCCCCAGGATGGAAGTGTGAGCAGGCAGAGAGAAGACCTGGACAGGGGCAGAGAGGGAAGAGGCAGGGTGCAGATGAGATCCAGGAGGAGGAGGAGGTGGATGAAGATGAGGCAGGACCTCCAGCGGGAAGCAGAGGAGGAGGCGGTGGTGGGAGGGAGAAAAGGTTAGCGGGATCCTGAGATGACAGGGCTGCAAGAGAAAGTGAGAGAGGGATGGTTATGGGGCGAGGCGCCAGGCGCTGAGCTAACCCTGGTGGCCCGCCCCACAGTCCCAGGTTGGCAGCTGGCTCCAGCGGGGAGAGGGCGGGAGGCCCCGGCTGTGATCAGCAATCATCCTCCTGGGGGCGGGCTGCACCTTTCTCCTGGGCATCTGCCTCCACCTGCACCTGTGCCACCTCCACCTCCTCCACCTCCTCCTGCTGCCGTGGCTCCTCCAGCTGCTCCTCCGCGCTCTGTGGACCCGCCGGCAGACCCAGGGAAGAGAGAGTGGAGACACTGACGAGGGGCCCAGGACCTGTGGGCAACTGTTCCCATGGACCCCCGACCTCAAGGCAGAGGGGGCAGGCAAGACAAAGAGGGACCTAAGGAAGGGAGGGCCACCGCCAAAGAAGCCGGACATCTTCTTCAGCCTCGGGAAGCCCAGGAGGGCTGGCTTAGGGAAGCCAGCAGAGGCTGGGGCCCTGCTGAGATGCTCAGGGACCAGCCTTGCTGCTGTTATAAAGCAAGGCTGTGGAGAGGGTGGAAGAGGAACCTGTGGGGGTGTCTGAGGGACCCACAAGAGGTGCCTGGGAAGGCCTTGCTTTGGGAGAATGGATCCACACTAGGCAGCAAGAGAGTCCCAGGACAGACACCAACCAGAACTGGGATGCCAACAACAGTGTGTGGCATCCCAGACCAGGTGGTGGCACAGGGAGGCAGAGCAGCAGGCTCGCCCTGCATTCCCACCAGGCAGTGCCAGTCATTGGTATAGAGTTGTGGTGGGGGGGTTTACAGCAGACAGTGCGGCAGACAGACAGACAGACAGGAAGCCTGAGTTCCTCAGTTCCCAAAGCACAGGACAGACTGGGTCATGTCTGCTTTGCTGGCCCTACCAAAGGCCCTTAGGGCCCTGGGGCCAGGACCCTGCCCAAGCCCTCCCCACAGGGTGACTCTGTCAGCTGTGCCCTTGGGCACAGGGGGCACACAGGACCAGAGCCCCTAGGGCTCTCCATGCCCTTGTTTACTGTGCCTAGGAGGAGGTCTGGGGCAGGACAGGACTGCTGGGTGTGGCTTCCTGGTGCTGGCCTATGCTGGCTGGGGACAGTTACCAGCCCCTGGGGAATAAATTGGCCATTTGGGAGCCCAGGAGTTCCAAGCCTGACTAAACAGAGCACATGGTCCACCCCTCTCACTTCACAGAAAACATAGCAAAAGTGTCAAGAGGGGACAGGACTTGTCCAAAGTCACACACATTGTCACTGTGCCCTGATCCCCTAGTTCAGTGCACTCTACCTCATTCCATGACACCTGTGGCTGCCACATGGTCCCCATTCAAGGGGCATCAAACCCACTCTGTCTGTACCCTTGGACAGCCCCGGTTCACTGCTCCCAGCCTGGGCCTGGTAACTGGTATAAGCAGACTGGACTATGGTACATGGGATGGATGGCAGTGGCTGTGACCATGGGGTTATAGAGTGCAGCAGAAGGGAGGAAGAAGCAGCAGTAGGGATGGTGGGGGGACAGTGGGGTGGGGGCACTGTCTTCAGATGGGGCCGGGGCTCACCTTGGTTTTGCGGCTGGACTCAGAGCTCAGGCCATGCGGGGAGCTGTGGAGCTCCTTGGACACCACACACAGGAACTCTGCTTGGTCCTCGCTGCCATATGTATAAGAGGAGCCAATGTTCACCAGCTGGAGGGTGGAGCACAGCGAGAGAGATGTGGGTAGGGTGGGGGTATGTCATTGGCCTCTGTCACAATCAGCTTAGCTCCGATCTTGGTGGCCTGCCCAGGCAACTCCTGCTTTCTCCACTGTGCCTCTCCTGACTTGGCTGGCCTGGCCAGGTGGAGGCCTGTCGTGGCCAGGCTGTTCCCCTAGCCTAGATGTGACTACAGCAGCCTGAGGACTAGGGTGCAGAATGGGGCTGGCTTGGTGGAGCCCTATAGAATATTCCCTTTATTCATAGAAGCAGAGACAAAACAGGTTGCCATTTGAGTCCAGAGGGCCAGTGATCTGTCTCTCGGCAATTTACCAACACTCTCACCAGCTCTCAGGGGAGAGCTCACCATACCCACAACCCCTTCCAGCTAACAAAGTCCTTGCATGTGACAGGTCCCATTCAGCAGTTCTCAGGGACTCTGATTCAGCAAGTAGAGGAAAATATCCGACCCCCCACACCCACCCTTGCCAAGGCTTGGAGAGGCAGTGGCCTGCTGCAGACAGGAGGAAGCAGGGCTCAGACCTGAGGTCCCTCTGTGCCTCCCTGGTGTCTTGTGGACTTAAACACAGTCCTTCTAATACTGCATGACACTAATGTCAATGCAAAGCACCGCCCAGGGCCAGGAACTTTTCTAATGACCCTCTGATTTTCATAGTGGCTCTGGGAAGGAGGTACCATTAGCCCCACCCCAGAGAACCCTGGCCTGGAGAGTCGCCATGGCTTGCCCGGGGCTGGAAGCATAGCAGTAGAGAGGCCTAGAGGGGAGTTTGGTCTCTGGCTTCTGGACTGGCTCTGGTCTGTCTGCCATCTTGGGGGTCCAACCTTCTCCCTTCCTCAGCTTCCACGTGCAAGGCAGCTGTGGGCCTGGTACATATGGGGCTAGCTGGACCCCCCTGCTTTAAGGGAAAATCTGACCTTGGGCTCACTTTCCTCTGGCAACCTGAGCAGTAGGACATCAGCTGTATGTGAGAGATAGCACTGCCTATGTGCCTCCCACTGGAGAGTATCTCTGGCCATCAGAGATAACTCATGTGAAGCCTGAAGGGGCAATGGCCGTTACTGGGCATGTCCCTCCTGGGTGCTTGGAGGCTGTGCTCACAGCACTGTTATGAGGTGTGGCTTCCACATGGGCAGACTCACCTCTGTAGCTCTTGCCTCCTTGCACCTGAGCTGCCACTCAGGGCCTGAGACTCACTCACACTTTGGTGCAGCCTACCACCCGCTGTGGTAAGGACATCCCTGACAGTTTGTTCAGGGCTGCCATACAGCAAGGGTATTCCTGGTCCCTCCCCATCTCCCTCTCTGTCAGCCTACACCAGGGGCCTTTCCTCATGTTGTTTTCCTCAACTTAAGATCTCTGGGTGGGGGCTGTGGTGGGCCTGAGGCTGGAGCTGCAGGAAAAGAGGGAGGCCAGGGGGTCCCAGTGTGGGCTCAACAGTGCCCCCATGTCCCCAGCCCACCTGCTCGAAGCGCCAGCCATCAGACATGGTGGAGACCATCTGTGTGAGCTCCTCCTCCTGGCATTGCAGCACTCGGTACACATGCTTGGGTGGCACCTGCGGGCAGAAGGGTCACATGGAGGGCACCTGTGGGAGCACTGGGCACCCAAGAGGGGGATGAGCACCTGCTGTACCCTCCCCAACGATATACCCCTGGAAGGAGGATGGCAGAGTAAGAGGAGGGAGGGAGCCATGCCCTGAGCACCTACTATGTGCTAGGTGCTCGACATGCATAATCTTACTTCTTCCAGGACCCCTATGCATTGTGGGAGTTTTTCACTGGGCTCAGACAGGTTCAGTTACTTTTTCAAGGTCACCCAGTTCAAGGATGGCACAGCCAGAGCTGGAATGCAGCAGGGAAGTAGGGGAGTTGTATGAGAGGGAAGGAGGGTAGGGCCTGGGGGACATTCTGGGCCACCTATCAAGTCAGGCCCTCCAGAGACATGAAGCTTCCCTAGTTCAGTTTCCTAGCCCTGGGGCTAGGAGGTGATGCCTCATCCCCATCTCCCAGTCCTGTCCCCAGGGTAGAAAGAGAATCTCAACCTGCTCCTGCAGACTGGTAGTTAGGTGGACACCCTTCAGCACCTCTATTCCACAGGAAGAAATCAAGGTCCAGAGAGGGGCAGAACTGGCCCAAGGTCACACAGCAGCAGGTGCTGAGGTACCACCCCTGCCTCTCCCAGCTTCCTTTCTCCCTTCTGCACCCCCTTCCTCTCCCTGGTGGCCTGAGCAACCTGTTCCCCGACCTGGGTCACCGTATAGTCCTTCTCCTCCATCCGGTCTTTGATGATGCGGATCAGTGGGCCGATGTTGTAGAACTCAGCTTCCTCCAGAACCCCTGGCAGACAGAGCAGCCCCCATCACTCATGCTGGCCCTGGACTCGATTCTTCCTTGTCCCCAAACCCAACTCCTGCTCTAGTCACAGGTTCTGAGAAAGGGAGCTGTACTTTTGTGGGTTCAGGGACCAAGCAAGAGGGGACACCTCCTTCCTTGGGCCACACACTCCCATGGAAGGGGCTAGGATACCACCACTCAGGCAGCCCTTTGTCCTTTGTCTCATCCTGGGGCCACCCAGTGGCCCACAACCTGGGGCTGCTCTGGGGCCACTAAGAGACAGAAGGTGAGCTGGAACTGGATCCTAGAAAGTCACATCCTAGCCTTTATAGCATTTAGCCCTCAGAACTAGAAGTGGGTGCTGAACACCTGGGAAACTGAGGCTCCAAAAGAGAAGCAGCTTGTCCAAGGTCATACAGCCTATAAGTTGCTGAGTAAACTCAAGGCCCTGATTTCCCATGTGTGCAACCTCTAGCTACCACACTTGACAGCTTGTCAGAAGTCCTGGGACATGAAGAAAGCAGGCATCACTGTCACTTAATCTGAGAGGCTGAGTCGCCCCATTGCCAAACCCATCCAGTGAAGCTGAGTGACCCTCCAGGGCAGGGGACCTTTTTTCTCTTCCTCACCTGGTGACTGGACTCCCGGGGGGAGGCAGAGCCTATTATTAACTATGTGTGTCCCCTCAAGATTCCTATGCAGAAAGCTGACTGGCAAGATGGTGGCATCGGGGGAGGCCCATGGGAGGCGATCCACAAGGGCAGAGTCCAGATTGGATGAGCACCTCCTTAACAAAAGGCCTGATAGCGAGCTGGCTCCTGCTTTCTCTACCATGGAACACACAGGGAAAGGTGGCCAAGGGCCTCCCCAAAGCCCCACCGTGCTGATCCACATGGAGCTCAGAATCCCACACTCTGAACTGTGAGGAATTTGTTCCTGCTGTTTATCAGTGCTATCTGTGGTGCTCCTTACAGCAGCCGGAACTGATGAAGACAGAGCCCCTTTCCGATCTACCCTGCTGTACCCGGTGCTCACTCACAGCCTCTGTAGAGCGGGCAGTCAGGGAGTATCACTGCTTGAGTGACAGAATGCTCCCTGGGCCCTGGTGGAGATGATGGAGAGAGACATCTAACTGCATACCGTGCAGCCAGGCACCAAGCTCCATGTAGTACTGGTATTAGCTGTTTTTATCCTCCCCATAGCTCATCAAGGTGAGTACTGGTGTCACTCCATTTCACAGATGTGGCATGGAGGCACAGAGGGGCTAAGTAATGTTCCCAATGTCACACAGCTCGTAAGTCTCTTCTCATGCCCCTGGTCCTCCTAGATGAGGGCCCTGGGTGTCTTCAGGTGCTGGGAGTAGCAGGATTTTGAGAAGACAGAACCTATAAACAGGTATTGGCTGTGACACACTGGAGTGTCAGCCTTCCCACCCCGTGGGATCTGCCACACCCATACTATCTGTGCTCCCAGAGCTCCAGGGAAGCTTTGGGGCTTGGTAGAGCTCTGATATTAAAGCCCTGTCCTCTGGGGAGTCACATGGCTTCCAGACCACTGTACCCCATAGAGGTCATGCAAGGGAGACCATGGCCCAGAGTAGGGAGGGATGGCTGGCTGTGCCAGGCATGTACAGGTGCACAGGACTCACAACATTTGCAGTCCCAAGGTATGCGCTCCGGAATTCAGGTCACCACCCTATTTCGTAGACACCAGTGGAAACAGACAACAATGACATGTCCAAGCTGGCCTGGCTGGGTCAGCAGGCCAGAGCCACACCCTGTGCCCTGAGGAAAGTTGATTTAACAGGAACTGTAGTCCCTGCCTCTGGCTGGGGCTCTGTAAATGACCATTCTTTCAGACACAGCTTTTCTCTCTGCAAGGCCCTATGTGAGCATCCACAGGCCTGGAAAGGGACAGGAAGCCCTGCCAGGGAGCAGATTCCTCCTCCGCTCCTCCTCCACCCCTAACCAGCACTGTGCTACAGAGGCTGCCAGATTTGGGGATGTCACCCACTCCACCCATTTGCTCACTGCAAGCCCTTGCGTGAATTGGAGATACCGGATCACCCAGAGAAAGAAGGACACAGCTCTTCCTCGCCCAGGTCCAGGGCGTGTCTAGCCACACCTGGCTTCCCAGGAGGCTAGGGAGGATGGGCAGCCCCATCTGAAACAGAGACCTCAGGCCTCACTGGCTTCCTTTATCCTGTGTGTGTCTCAGTCACCTCCCCAACGGCACCCAGTGAATGCCTGGGTCTGTCAGCACGATAGAGACCTGGGAAATCAACTGTGTGTGTGGCACAGGAAGAGGCAGCAACATGGGAGAGAGCAGGTGTCCATGCCAGTGGGGAGAAATGGCTTCCAGCCTCCCCAAAGGCCCTGGGCAGGCTGCAGAGCACAGGGCAGGGCCAGGGCGTGGACCCCAGGCCAGACCCCTGAACCAACTCACCCTCCTCAGCCATATCCTTGTCCAGCACCAGCTTGCCATGCCTGAGGAAGTTCAGGATGGGCCCAAAGTAGGTGGGGTCACGGTCAATGAGGTAGGCCCCAGTCTCATCCTACAGAGGAGAGGGCCACAGGCAGTGAGAGAAGTATAGCTTCCCTCTGCCCAATCTCACACCATATCTCTACTATGGGCCCAGGAAAGGTCTGCAGGGGAGAGGGGAGGGAGCAGCATCAAGTAAGCCTCAGTATATCAAGTAAGCCTCTGGAGTCAGATAGACCTGGGTTCAAATACTGCCTCTGCCTTTTCTGGGCTGTGTGACCTTGGCAAACAATTTGATCTCTCTAAGCCTCTTTCTTCTTCCCCACAATTAGGGGTGACTGTGAGCATGTTGTGAGAAAAGATCTGAGTGACCCCTAATTCAGCACAGGGCTCAAAGACTGTCCCTCTTGGAGGCTGTTCCCCTGAAGCCAGCCCAACTATTCACTAGATTCCCAGCATTTCAGGGGATGTTTTTAAATTTCCAAAGGAGCTGCTCTCTGATTGGACACTTGCAGCCCGCAGGGAGGCAGGGCAGGCATCAGTACAACTCTACCGAGAGGACGGAGGCATCAGGAGGTAATGGGAATTGCCCAAGGTCACAGTATTGGAGGGTCATGGGATGAGGGCCAAGGGACTTTGCAAGTCTCCGGACTGGTCCCTGGCATTATATGCAGGAGGCTATGCCAGAGCAGGGAAGGGACCCACCCCTGGTCATGCTTACTAGTTTGCAGCAGAGCCGGGTGGGAGCCCAGAAATGGTGCCTGCTGTGTCTGTGCAACTCCCAAAGGCACCCGGACCTCTTCCACCCAGGTTCTATACCCCTCGCCACCCACACCCTGGAGCGCAGGAAGAAAGAGCCACACCACCTTCCTCAGCACGGGACTCCTGTTTGGGAAGCAGGGAAGGCCCCACATGTCTGTCCCTTGCCGCAGCCCCAGAGGAGGGGAGTCCCACAACCAGGGCAGGGTTCCAACGCTCCAAATGGCTGCGGCCTGCGTTGTCCCGTTGCCACGGCAATGGGCACAGCGCTCACTCTCAGCACCTCTCCCGCTCCACCCAGTTCTTCCCGCCTCCGGCTCCTCGGAAAGAAGCCAGCCCGGGGCCTCCAGGCTGGTGGGCTGGCCAGGCGGGCAGCCCAGCGTCGGGGAGCAGGGACCCCGCCGCCCCCGTCCTCCCGCCCGCCCGCCCGCGGGCCCGAGGGCTCACCCGGTCCGACTGCAGCTCTTCCCCCTGGCACAGGCGACTGAGGAAGGACTTCTGCTCCCGGCACAGCGTCTGCCGGGTGGTCAGGAACACCGTGCCCCCCACGTTGAGCCGCACCCACTTGCCCCAGCCGCCCGCCGTGCGGCCGCCCGCCCCCGCCGGCGGCGCTGCCTCTCCGGCCTCCATCCTCATCGCTCGCCGCGGCGTCTGCATCCTCCGCTCGCCGCGCCGCGGGCGGGTACCAGGCGCGGGGCACGCCGGGAGCTGTAGTCCGCACGCCCCCCGCTGGGCTGGGCACGATTGGAAAGGTCCCCCGCACCGGGCCCTCCAGTTCCATCTCATCCCATTGCCTTCCCGGAGGACACGCGCTGGGTCTCTCCAAGAAGCCTTGACCAGAGTCCTGTGTTTGGAGAAGGTCAGGTTCCCAGACACTGAGAAAATAGCGACCACCCCCCACCCACCCAAAGCAGCAATCCCTCCACCTTTGTTCCCAAACTATTTTTCCTTTGTACAGTCAGCGATCAAACAGCTGATGTAAAAGAAACTTCGCCCTACTGGAACTGCTAGGCAGGCTCTCCTACCGCTTGAGCCACTCTGCCAGCCCTTCCTCCTGGAATTGTTACAACATTTACCTGTATCTGTTTTTTCCTTTTCTTTTCTTTTTGGTGATACTGGGATTTGAAATCATGGCTTCACGCTAGCTAGGCAGGCGCTCTACTTCTTGAGC